GAAATACGTTTTGGAAAAATTATTGGTTACTGATTTTTGCGCTATGGCTATTCTGTTTTGATTCTTCGTCTAAATGCGAAATTATGTAGTGAAAATTAATTTTTTATGTGACTTTTGTGTATCAAATGATATGAGTTATCGCCATTTTAGAGCATACGAATATGGTATACCACCAGGCTGATAACACTGACACATTTGTGACATGAAAATTCTTAGGCGTTTCTAATGCTGTTTGATACTTTGAAGTCAAATTTGAAAACAGTATTTTTCTATCACCCACAGATATTCTGTAACCTGCGGCTTCAGATTTTACTATACTACTATGATCAAATTGATAGGTGAACTGATTTGAATATAAATTAATTCAAATCAATTCGTTTTCGAATAGGTACATTTTTTTTTTTTTGTAAGTTGGTAGTACTGCTAGTGACATCTATGCTAAGTTTCACGTTAAAATATTCATTAGTATTTGGGATACGCATCGTTTTGTGAGGCTCTAAAACGGAATTCTTCGATTTTTTTCTATATCTGAATTTATTGAACAAAGAACTGCGATAATGCGCTGTCTCATACTGCATTGGTTATTGGTGACAATTTTGCCACTTTTTCAAATAATACCGCATTCGCCTGATTTACGTCAGACACTCACTCCGGGACAAAAAAACGTTACCAGAGAAGCCCTGGTTGTTCCCAAAAAGGTATTACTACCACCTTTGCATATTAAATTGTGTTTAATGAAAAAGGTAATGGACAGAAATGGAAAGGGTTCTTCAACATCTGAAACAAAAATTTCCAAGAATCAGTGAAGCAAAAATTAAGGAGGGCATATTTGTGGGTTCGCAAATAAGAGAACTAATGAAAGATAAAACATTTGAGGAAATGCTCAATGAAACTGAAATACGAGACTGGAGGGCCTTTTAAAGCATTTGTCAAATTTTTTATTAAAATGTGAAAGCTAACAATTACAAATATCTTGTGACTGAATTACTAACTGCCTATAAAAAAATATTTGCAAAAAAAGTGGATTTTTGTTTACCAGCGTAATCAGGCTAACTCTTTGTCTAGGTCTTTCAAGTAATATAGAAGACGCTATCGTTCTTCAAAAGAATAGTCATATTTTTTGTTAGAGCTTGATGAAGCTTGTAGTAATATATGTATGCATGCATTTATGCGTATGATGTCATAGCAATCAAATATATATTGTTTACCTCTTACACTATAGCTTCCTCCCAGAGCGATAAAATATAAAAAAGCAGCCATAAACAAATCACCCATCCCTAATAGTGAAGTTTGGGAATTTTTCAAATTTTAAGTAATATTTGTATTCTAATTTATACACATTTCCATTTACGTTCCGACACTCCAAAATAAATGCACTCGAATAACCTTTTCGGGGCTTTCGGCAGTAATTGCCACAATGGAAAATTGTTTTCACACACTTTGCCCACCATTCTATGCTCCTGGCGGCTTTCATCGATAAAACCGAAATAATAATACAAACCCGAAACAATAAAAAGAGAATAAAAGAAAGTAAAAATAGAATGAAAGCGAGAAAGTTCAATGCCCAGAAAATCGTGTTTGGAAGCCGTTCCAATCACTACAAACAAAAATGTAATAAAACAATTTTTTAAATATAGGGATAAATAATTGGAATTTGAAGTGACCGCACGCAGATGTGTGTATTCGTGTATGTGTATTTACAACCACTCACACACACATTCAATGGGGAGAGCTTTTCAAATTATTATTTTTACATCCCTGCCGACCCCAGGGGACATGGCATGGCTCTTGGAGGAGGAGCGGCTGCGTGCAAATGGCCAAACATAGAAATTCTGAACACACATGATCACACATACACATATGTATGTATTCGAAAGATCAAGCAACTCTAAATTCAGTCACCTCTCAGCGCCTCTTTAGTCAATTAAGTAAATTTGCGCACTTCCAGTTATGCTTTTGTCAATATTTGCCGTTACATTTTGTATAAACATGTTCGCAGATATTGTTGCTTTATTCCTCGAAGTGCGATTTGAAATATGCCAACTGTGTGCGCCAATATGCCGGTGTCTACTTGCAGGTATGGGTGCATGGAACTGCCGAAGTGTGTGTGCGCAGCACGTGCCCGCGAAAGGTCTTGCCGCTAAACTGACGTTTCTAGCACATTTGGCTCACGCTGAATTGGGTTAGTAAACATTAATCGACTAACAACGAGTCAAGGTGTGCAACTGAAGTATGCGATTTCATTTCAACTTATGCCTATTATATTATTTAATAAAAATAATTTAAAATAATATTATTTATAATATGCATAACATATTTCATTAATACTGGCAAAGTAAATATACCAATACATTACTCATGGACATTCATAATAAATTAAAGAAAAGGAGCCGATTTGGTTAAGGGGTGACACAGGCTTAGAGGTTTCAAAAGATCGATTTTTTGTATTGTCTTATTAAATTCTACAACACTTCTTGATCCGAGTAATAGTTTCCGAGGTACAACCTTGACAACTTGTGCGCTCGAAGCTAACTAGACTAAGTGCGTCGTCTTTAAACGCGTTTTTCATGAAACTGTGTTTTTGAAGTCGGTTGGCACGATTTCTCGCGAACTACTGAAACGATCTTCGTGAAATTCTCACAACTCTTTGCGATACAATTCTTGAAGACTTGGACGAAGGATTTTTTCCCATATAATTATAAAAAAAATGTTTGCCAAATTTTTTCTGAATTTGATTTTTTTTTTTTTTTTGGGAAAATCTCTGTTTCAGTTTTCTTTTTTTCTTTCTCCAAGTTCTCAGTTAAAGTGATAACTAAAAAATGTCTTTTTTCAGATGATCCTGTAAGGAGTTTTATTGACAACGCGAGCACATATTTCTTCGGAGTGATCACCGGAAATGGCGTTACATTGGCCGAGTTTAAAATATTCTTCCAAAAATTTCACAATTTCTTTGCTAATAGCGTATGTTTGTAACAATACAAAATTGTAATAAAATATAATATTTAATTTCTTAAATGAGAAAAAATTGTTCTATAAACTCTGTTTTTTACCCGAGCAAACCCATGTAACCCCTTAAGAGTCTTTTTGGTGGCTTATTTTTTAAAGCGTAACCTTTTATTTTGAACGTAATGAAATAAAGCCAAAACTGTTTCAAACACAGAAATCGGTTATAATCAGTTTCGAGAGAACTATAGAGATCAGAGATCAGTCGCAAATCTGGCAAAGATAATCAACGACAAAAATCAGAGCTATGAACACTTACTTTCTGAAGGACGGTATTAATTTTCAAGATTTTCTTATTCGATAAATAAATCACAATCTTTATGTTCACAAAAATGTTCGCAAATTGAACTGATTCTATTTTAATACATAACTAATTTGCCGAACTTATTTCCATTTTTATTTGACTAATCTAACCGAATGAAAGTTTAATATTTTCGTTCAATATTCCCGTGATATACCAACTATAGGTGTTATATTAAAAAATCGACATATCTTAACACAAAAATCGGAAATATTATCAACTAATATACAATTTTTAGAAAGTTTATTTAAATTTCCACTAGTAGCCACGTTCTGGCAACGACGTACCAGCTTTTGAAGCTTTTCCACTCACAAGGTGCTTGTATCTGATTAAGCTTTTTTTATAAAGCTTTAGTAAAAGCGCACTTTTTCAGCGGTATTAACATAAGTTTTCCAAATGCTATTCACACAAGCAGCTGTAAAGCTTTTGCTGAGGTGAACAGGCCAGAGTAAGGCCATTGGAAATAGCATTGGAAAGCAAGGCCAGTGCCTGGAGCGAATCAGTCCATATGAGAGAAATGTTAAAGGATATAACTTCTGGTACAGTATTCAAATTATGAAAACAAATTGTTGGAAACATATTTAATTTTATATCAGTTCTGTTCAAATATTGTATTTTTATTTTAAACTCAGTCTGGTTTCAGACTTTTTAAAATTCAAAGCAATTTATCCTATCAAAATTGTTTAAAAATCAGTAATTTAAGTTAGAAACATTTTTTATATTAAGTAAAGAACAAAACATCAAGAGATTTTGAGATTAAAAAAGAAATTAAAAGAAAAGAAGATATATTAAAGAAGGTTTGAGATTAAAACAAAACTGCAGTGGGTGTAGAGTTTTTCAAAAACACCATGTTTTTTCAATGGACATGAGTATCCAAAACATCATACCAAATTCAGAATCAATACTATAATACAACACTGCCCAAGAAAACCCGCAAAAAATAATATTAATACTATTCAAAATAAACGATTGTAAGCTTTCCAATTTGCAAACTTTTCACTTTTTCATTTAGTAGTATACCTAGCACTTACTTATAATAACCCTGTTTCCAAGAAATCACTCGATTATTGAATATTATTCAAAAATTATACATAACTGTTGTATGAAAGTAAACGGCAAAACAATCACTAGATTGAGTTATAATCTAGTTACGATACTGAATCAGAGCTAGTTCCACTCAATATGGGTTTCCAGCTTCCTTCTGTTCGTTCTCCCTTAAATAGCACTTTAAATCGCATTGATATTACGCCTGCATCATGTGATGAAACATCACATCATCACCCATATCAATAATTGAATAATTAAGCATACATATATTGACACACTAAAATGAGCATGTAAGTAGTGTATACACAATTTAATTCATGCTCCAAAATATCAATTTTTCATGCGCTATATATAAACAGAAATATTCGCTTATCAGCTGTAGAGCCCATTTCAGCGAGAGCTGAGCTCAGAGCAGCAGAACTCACAGCGATGGAATACCACACTCGTTTATATGCATTTGTTTTGAAAAGTAAACCACAGAAACACCAACACAAAACGGGAATACCAAAGTACCATATAATGAGCTGTAAATCAAAGCTCGCCAAACAACTTTCAATAACGCGCTGGGAACTTCATCTCTACTCAGCTCAGCTGTGGAGCAACGGTGTTGGAGCTTTCGCTGACTTCCAGCGGCGACTCCAGCAGGTGTGTGAGCGCGCTGCTGCCAAGAGCAAAAGCGAAGAACGCAGCAACAACAACAAGAAATTGCGAGCACACTGGCGAAGGTGAAGGCGACCAAAGCATCAGCAGCTGAGCAGCGTGCGAGTAACGGTGAGACTGTGGCAGTTACTAAATCGACGTGCTGTTAATAACAACGCAGCGCGCGTGTTGCAACAACAGTTGGCAAATTTATTTAAGAAAAAACTTTTTAAATATATATATTTATTAGAGTTTATAACAAAAACAAAGCGTGTTCGTTTACTTATTCGAAAATCTTGTTTTTGGAGCTTTCTGCCGCGCGTTTTCTGGTAAATTTTCAGTGACTCAAAAGCGATCAGATACTATATTCGTGCCTAAATTCCTATACATACATATGTAACTGTGTTAATTGGCGTTGCAACGCGCATTGAAGTGAAAGTGACGGTTGTGGACTTGTCGTTTTTGCTTTTGTTATCTTTTGCATTTTGTTCTTGGGTTTTTCGCAATCTAAGCAAGATTTTGATTATCGCTTCGCCTCAACACACAAAGCCTACCTCCAAGCGCTGATAATCAACAGTTTTTCCGGTCTACTGGCTACATTGTTCAATATCTTAGTATCTTGACGAAACCGTTATTCTTCAGCCGAAGAGGTCAATTTATTTCTGCTGACCTTAGTAAAAAATATTTTTGCGCTCTTCCGCTGGCATTACGTGCCTTGGTTCTAGTATAATATACTTGTGTTGCATTGGATTATCTGCTCACTACTCAAGCACGCACTCACACTTGTATTTTCCCACAAACAAATATTCACTTGAATCCACGTATGAGTATTTACTATTAATACATGTGAAGCCATTCGACTAGAAACGCTTCTAAGAAAAAATACAAAACTCATAAAGTTACATACATACAACGAATATTGATAAGCAAACACTTGTTGTTTTCGTTTTTGAGATTTTTATAGTTTTGTTGACTCTTTTGGGCCAAAAACTCAGTGCTCACACGCAAGCCTGGTTTCTAAATCGGCGGCATTTATTCCACTTTATTTTTGAACACTAAATTAATATTTGCGTTTTTGTTTGGACCCAATTTTCTTGCCTGAATCCACAGTGTTTAATAGCATCTAAATCGATCTACGAAGAGTAGGATTAAAAACAGGTCCTCAACAGCGACAATATGAGTGCGGTCGATGCGGTCTTGAGCTTTAAACGAAGCCCCGACGAGGACTTCTACGGGATGCTGAACTGTGATGAGAATTCATCGGTAAGTTGCCTGGATTTTATAAGAATTTGATAATAATTACTAATAACTCTCAGCCATGGCTGGAATACTTGTGAAATGCTAATGGATCATTAAAATCAATACGAATCGGCTGTAAAGTTTTTAATAAGTACGATTTGAATTTAGTGAATACTTAGTCAGTTAAACACTCTTAAAATAACAAAAATCCATCATAAAAATTTAAATTTCATTTTAAGCTTTCAAAAGAAACAATATCTTTCTTCTTACTTGAATTTAATTGTTTCTTCCATTGTAAGTCTTCTGAACTGGAAATTGAGCAATTAAAGTCTAGTGTCTGACCCATAGCACTAAAGCTTTTTCTTGAAATAACTTAAAGGATAAAGATTTGGCTATGATCGGGCTTGATTTGATACAGTGACTCATAGTGTTCGTAAATAAGAAGTGTAGGCAGCTTCTTATAGCTCGCTTTTGTGGATATAATCCATATACTACTATTTATATATCTCCTCCTTCACCAGACCAGACCTATTTACAGATCTATCTTTCTACTTATCTTATTTAAAATATATGCCATGTGTATGTGTAACTTGGTAAATACTGTTGTGAATGAAAGATGAAATCGAGTAGTGCTAAGAAAAACTTTAGAAATAATTTCCTTTTCTCTTTTACTAGAAACAATTTACTTCCTAAAAACATTGCAATTATTGATTCTGAGTTGCTATTTATCTGGTAAGGAAACAGTCACCCACAAGCGGTAAAAAGCTTTTAGGTGAAAAAAAAAAAAACATTTTCATAGCTGTTAACTCAAACAATTTGTAGAAGCTATTTTACCCCATATTCCAGAACGAAAACTGGCATAAAATAATTTACAATTAGAGGCGGCGTGAATTTCATTAAATAATTATGAATCCCATTGTATTTGAAATTGCTGATTTGCATACAGATAACCTATTTAAGTAGCCATTATAATACTTTTGTTTCCTGAAGACATATTGTGTGCTCCGTTTCGGTGTTTAACTGGTCTGAAATACCTTTTCACACTCGAGTTGCGCTCAACCTTTACTAACGACCGAACGATTACCCTGTTAAACACAGAGATTTGACAATTTATTGTCGGTAAGGAAGGCAGGAATTCTGCATGAGGTTGTGAAACATCCATGAGCTTAACAAGAACTACAGTTTTCACATGATTTGGTTCTTACAGCAATATAAGTGTTTTTAACTAATGTTACCTTTTCAGAAACCCTTTTCATATCAGAAACACTGTTGATAACCCATAAGTAACCTAATCGAACCCTATATCTGAAAGTAATTAACATTTTTTTTTTCGGATGCCTTCAACTTATAATTGAGATAAACTTAACCCTTACAAAACCACTTTCTATTTCATACCAGAAATATCTAATACATAAAGAATTTCCTGCCGTATATTAGCAATTAGTTACCATAAGCGTACTGTGAAAAAGTTTTCCTGCAGACCTTAAAGGTATGGCATTGAAATAAGCATTTTGAAACGAAATAAAATGAACGGTCAAGTGAAGGATGAAAGCTTAAAAGTTTGCAAGTAGCTTAAGGGCGAAATTTCATCAAAGCCAGAAATTATTTCCGAAAAAGGTGAAAGAAAATTCCGAATTAAATGCTTCAGAGAATATAAGGGTACAAAGAAGCCATTAAATACGAGTGTGCAATAAAATAATTGGAATTTATTGAAAAGATGCTGAACACAAAAAATGTGTCAATATTGACTTTAGCAATCCCAAACATTTTTGAGCATTGAGTAAATGTCCTTTAAAGCGTCTAATCACGGTTACATACGATACTTCTTTTCAACGACCACTACGAAAATAATTAATTAGGTATAGTGATTGTTTTCTGTAGCTCTTTTGAACACGAAGCCTTAGTTATGTTTGAGAGGTACCTTCAACGATGACAACAAAAATGTTCAATGAAACAATAAAAACCCAACATATTAAATGGAAACAATTACTATAATATTATGAAGGTCACAAAAAGGTAATTAATTCAGTCTTTTAGGTAATAGGTTATTAAATGTAGTTAAAGTAGTTAAAGTAAGCTTTAGTGTCACTAAGTCTTATTCACAAGTGCAAAAACAATTCTTACAACAATGTTTACTGTGCTTGACCCATACTGTTATGCCATAAATTACGAGACATATTCATACATACTTTGAATCGACCAATAATCACCAAGAGACTAAGTCTGGTTTATAGGCGAAACAAAAAGCGAAATTTCCAGAATTTCGTTTCATGGAAGAACGAATTATTATCGTGAAAAAATACCAGCATATCGTTAGCGATAAATGCAAAAAATTTTACAAGGAAGGAAGGAAGAATTGGGCCGCGATCTCAAACCAGTTTATCTAATAAGAACAAAAAATTTCATTTTAACTAATATTTTACAAATTAATTTAGGTGGACATAAATAAAATACTATATGTCTGGACAACTCTGCTTTGTGAAATGTATTAATATTTGAAACGTGCTTTTGCGTCGATTCAATTTACAGGAACACAGGTGCGGCGAATTTGTCACAGCCAAACTTGTTTGTGATTCACTTTCAGTTGGCAAATTGTGGGCATTGTCTCACTTTGATTTGGGTCTGTGCAACAACACGCGAATACGGTGAGATCGCACTTTACCAGACGGCGGAATTAAAACCGAATACGAAAACAATTAATCGTAATGTCCGTAATACCCGAGTCGGAAAGTAGTCAAGCAATGGAAAAATTTATTAATTTTCCACAAAACACTTAAAAATTCTCCATCAATGCAAATGTAATAATGCAACCCTGGATAATGAGTTCGCTTCTTCTCTTTAATTACACAATAATGGCAACTGCCTTAATGAAATTTATGAAACTCAGTGCAATGTTTATTGTTTTTATTAGTTTGTGGCCGGTACTGCATTTGCCTGCATACTTTCGCGAATGCTCTTCGGGAGACAGCAGTGATTCACTGGCGCGGCGCAAAAGAAAACACTTGTCCGATGAAATATCAAAGTCGTAAGCATGCGAACAATTAAATTTGCATATTCCACTACTCACGGCAGCTTTAATGGTTCTCGATAGTAATTTACGCTTTAAGTTTTATTTGTTTATTTTATTTTATGTACAGTTATACTGTTAGAAGCGTACTAATTGCACCTCCATGCGAGAGATACCTACACAAGTTCATGTGTTGTCTCATGCGTCTTCTGGCAATAAAGTGCAACTGCGTAACTTACGACCAAAGTGGAACAATAGAATACTTTTATGGTTATTACAGAGCTATTCGAGTTTGTGAGCTAGAATTTACAACTATTTATAAAAAATAAAACCGAAAATAAAACTATCAACATTGAAGATGACAGATGCATGAATACGGTTAATACGAATACAAACAGGTGCCAACGATGAGTGAGTTAGGCTATTGTGAGGTACTTTTAAGTTAGTCGGTGCAATTATAATTGTAGATTATTAAATGACGGTCGCTATATGAGGGGTAATCCATTTCGAGGTTTCCAACTTTTTCAAAGAAAGAATGCAGAAACTTGGAGTTTAATGGTGAATGTTTATTAACATTCAAAAGAACATTTTTGGAGATTATTAGACTATCTCTTTCAAATGTTGGCCGCCGCTACATCTCAGATGGTTCATCCGTTGAGTCCAACTTTCGATGACTCGTTCGAGCAATTTGACTGGCAATTGGCGAATGAAACCCGTAATGTTTTAATCCAAGGCCTGAATCGAAGTGGGATTCTTCGCATAGACCTTACATTTTACATATCTCCACAGAAAATCAATCACACAATCGACTGGCCCAAAACCTTAAATTATCTGCTCAACGAAGTTCTCTCAATAAATCCATTGATTGGTCGAAACCAAATGACACCGAGACCACGAGCTTCAAATTCAGACATGAAATAATCGGATATCATGGAGCAATAACCATCGCTATTGGAGGTTTCGTTCTCACCTGCATAATTTTTGAAGAAATATAGACCGATGATTCTACACACTGGCTCACAAATCACACAAATCAAAGCTTTGCTTTTTCTGGATGAAATGGCAGCTTTTCATTCTCGTCTCATTACTGGCCAAAATTTTACCCGAAAATCTCAGATCTTCTTGGAAGCGTTCAAAAGTCCACAGAGCGAAGCGACATCGCTTGGGAAGATTTGCACACTTTCAATTTAAGAGCTCGACGTAAAATTTCGACAAGTCGATCCATACATCTGTTGCTGCGAACGGCGCCGAACCGACTCTCCGCTGTCTTTACCAACACTCTCAGCTGCAGCTGCTATTCGGTGAAATATTATACAATAATGAATGCTGCGTTATCAAAAATTTTCTAAAAGACCTAAAAACATTATTTGCTGTTCTAGAATTTAATGATTGGCAGCAATTTTGCTGCTTCACAATAATTGACAGCTGATATTGTCAATGATGCTGGTTAAAAGAAAAATCAGAAATTTCTGTTGTGTATCAATTACAACTTTCCTAGAATTTGATTTAAAGTTGGAAAAAACATAATTGATTTAAGAACAAGAAAAAAAGTCATCTTCGCCTGCTTCGAAGCTAATATACCCTTCACGGGTGTATTTCTTTTAGTAACAATGTGTCCAGTTTCTATGGAAGCTATTTGCTATAGCTAACCGATATCAGCAGTTCCGACAAATGAGCAGATTCTTGAAGTGAAAATGACCTTTGCAAAATTTCAAAACGATAATTTCAAAACTGAGGAACTAGTTCGTATATATACAGACGGACGGACAGGGAGATGGACATGGATAAATCGACACAGCTCAACAGACTGATCATTCATATATATGTGTCCTAGTCTACGGAAAGGGGGTTTAGGTGTCAAAAAATCAATTTTCACTTTTTACTTGATTCGGATGGAAGATGAGATTCTTTTTCACGTGTTAGAAAACTAGTTTTTGCACGTTAGCTCCCTTTTCGTAGACCACGTCACTTATACTTTATAGGGTCTCAGACGCTTCTTTCTGGGTGTTACAAACTT